CAGTATATACAAGTACAGTAGTAACCTTGTATCCTGCAACCTTGTTAAACTCACTTAATTCTGATTATTTGTAGGTTCCTTAGGGCTTTTTAAATAAATTTATAAATGGTCATTTCTCTTACAGATAAAGTTTGTTTTATATCTTCCTTTTTATTATTTATGCCTTTTAGTTCTCTTTATTGTGTTACTGAAATGTCTGAGATTGAATATAAGTAGTGACAGATGGCATTCTTGCCTTATTCTTCAATATTAAATATGCTAGCTGCAGGTTTTTTTTATAAATGTAGGTCGAGGAAGTTCCCTTGTATTTTTAGTTTGATAAGAATTTTTATTGTGAGTGGATGTTGAATTCTGTTAAATAATTTTTTCCTGCAACAGTTTAAATGATCATATGTGTTTTTGCCTAATTTAGTAAAATACATTGATTTGTGTTTGTTAAATCAACCTAGTATTCCTGGGTTAAACACTACCTGATGTTTATATATTATTATTATTATTTGATATGTTTCTAGAATTCCATCTTAATTTACCTAGTGGCTTTTTAATTATATCTTTTAGAAGTTTTTAGTGTTTCCTCTAGAGATTGTATTATATACTAGCGGCTTGGTGCACGAATTCATGCACGGGTGGGGTCCCTGGGCTGATCAGTGCAAGGGGGCGGGGGCAGCCAGGGGGAGGTGCTGCGGACAGTTTGTGGCCGGCCCTGCCCCCGATTGGGGTGTTGGGGGCTGATTGGGGCAGGATCAGGCTGGTTGGCTGCCACAGTGCACGTCATAGCCACCAGTCATTCTGGTAGTTCTGGTCATTCTTCCATTCCGGTCACTGGGCTTTTATATATAGGTGCCTGTTTTCATAATCTGCTGAGAACATTGTATCATTTCACGTAAAATGTAGAAACTTCCAATTATATAGGTTCATTGGCTCCCTCTTGTTTTTGCTGTAGTTTTCATATGTATTACATCTACATATCTTATAAATTGCATAATAAATGTTTTTGCTTTGAAGAGTGATATGTTTTAAGAAGATTAAGAGTGAAATCAGTCTTTTATTACATACCCATGTGTGAATTATTTCCAGTGCTCTTCATTCCTTTCTGAAAGTCCAACTATCTGATGTCATTTCATTTCAATTTGGCAGACTTACTTTAGCATTTTTCTTAGTGCAGGTGTGCTGGTAACACATTCTATTATTTTTGTTTTATCTAAAAACTAGAGGTCCGGTGCACAAAATTCGTGCACTTAGGGTGGGGGGTTCCTCAGCCTGGCCTGTGCCCTCTCGCAGTCCAGGATCCCTGGGGGGATGTCCGACTGACGGCTTACTGGGCCTAAGCCGTCAGTTGGACATCCTTAGCATTGCCACAGTGGCAGGAGAGGCTCCCACCACTGCCGCTGTGCTCACCAGCCGTGAGCCTGGCTTCTGGCTGAGCGGCACTCCCCCTGTGGGAGCACACTGGCCACCAGGGAGAAGCTCCTGTGTTGAGTGTCTGCCCCCTGGTAGTCAGTGTGCATCATAGTGACCAGTCATTCCACCATTCGGTCATTTGCATATTAGCCTTTTATTAGGTAGGAAATGCTGTAAATGAGGCCCCTAGAACCATAAGAAATGCAAAAAATTCACTGTTAACTCATTCTCGAATTGCCCCCACTTAAAATCAAATCCCCCCACCCTCCCGGTGGGGCATGTGCTGAACCTTGGGAACCACTGGGCTTGACACTTTTCCTCTCTGAACTTCATTTCTGCATACGCATATACCATGGGAATTGTAATCTCTTCTCCGCTTACCTCACTGGGTTGTCATGAGGAGGTTCTGAGCTAATAAACGTAGAAATGTTTCAAGTAAGTGATGTCTAAACGAGAAGGGATTATTTTTAAGCTTATGGGTACCCTCGCAGGTAGCAGGTGCAGATTAGGGGAGGAGGGTACAATTGTTTCCTGGACTGTAGCTATGGAAACTTTGTAGAGGGTTCTGCAGGTCTCAGAGGGGTGGGCTCTGGCCAGCAGCCCTGTAGCAATGGTCGTCCTTGGAGGCACTGGTTGGGGGCAGGGTGTTAGGGGGGCACTAGGGGGGTGGCGAGACCGAAGGGGGAGTAACTGTCAAACCTTCCCACTTGGCGCCATTCTTTAAATTGTACGTGGCTGTTTCACAGTTGTATCTGCTCAGGGCAGGGCTCCAATCTCCTAGAGCGGGGTGGGGGGTGGGCCAGGGTGGAGCCAGGCGAGCTAGGAGGGCAGGTTTAGCCATGCCCCCAGCGAGGTTCAGTGCACTTTCACTGAGGAGATGGCGCTGCTGCTGGGGGGGGGGGGGGTCTGACCCTGGGGGGCCGCTCAGGTCTGCCTCCCCCCGGGTCTGGAGTTGTAGGGAGGAGAGGCGTGCTCAGCCCCAGTGGAGAGGGCCGGGCAGCAGCGGGCCACGGACCTGGGTGTCTCAGGTGCTGACGGGTGGTTGCTGGTGTGCTATTGTTGTGGGCGCCCCTGACGGGTGTGGCGGGTCAAGAGATAGGGAGTCGGAGGTGTGGGCTGCAGCTACCCCTGAGGCTGGGTCTTTCCCCCCGTCCAGTCAGCCTCCCTGTCCCCCCTGGGTTGCAGGGGCCAGGGTAGGGTGTTCGTCCTTCCCCCCAGTGGTGCGGGGGGCTGGGGTAGGGTGTCTGTGCAGGGGTATTGGAAGAGCTCCCCGAGGCTGCTTCCTCTTCCTTCTTTGCAGTCCAGGCTAGTGTCAGGCACTCTCCACAGACCCCCGGGAACTTGGCTCCGGCCTGCCGCCCGCCCCCTGCTGTGCGTGCCCACCCTCCTGCTGGTCTGTCAGTATGCAAATTGGTCATTACTGGGACACCGGAATGGACAATTAGCATATCACCTCTTTATATGTATAGATGTTTTCATTTCATTTTCATTCTTGAAGGTTATTTCCATGAATATAACACCCTGTATTGGCATGGGTCCCCCACTTCCCTTTCTGTACTTTTATATATTTCATTCCACTATCTTCTGGATTTGATGTTTTCTTGTGAGATGTCAGTGAATATTCATTCAGAGTTGAGTAGATTTTGGGTACAGAATAACAGCAGCTTAAAAAGAACATGATTTTATATTTTAATATTTTTAGAGGTCACTTAGTGTTCGAATTTTGAGTTATCTGAAACATTCAAAAACAATGTTTAACCATTATAGGCATCTTCATATTTCTGATTTTAATGGAAATGGCTTCAGTATTTCACTATTGAATATTTTGCTTGCTCTGAATATATTTGGAAAAAAGTGTGTCATACTTAAGTAGTTTACTTTTATTCTTATTTTATTTGAGCTTTTATTAGGAATGGTACCTGAAATTTGTTAAATGCCATTTTAAGTCTTGATACAATCACAGTCAATTAGCTTTTTAACAAATTGGATTCAGATGTTTTTTTTTTAGGTTTTCTTTTTGCTTCAGTACTGACAAGTGTATTGTTTTAGATTTTTCTCTTTTGAACTATTTTTATCAGGTTTTATTAGTATTTTATAACACTTTAAAAATTAATTGCATACCTTAATAATTATCTTCTCTTGTAATTCTTTTGTGGAGATAATTTTCTTGAGTTTCAAAAACTAATAATTGGAGTCTTATGTTTAGGTGAGTTTTGTCAATTTGCCAAAACACTTTTCAAAAATCAATATATAGATACTCTATAGTATATACTTTTTAGTGTAATTTTATTAAGGATGTCAGATGTTTTTATATGAAATTGACATTTTTTCTAAGTATGTATCTGTTATTTTGTATGGTTGTGCGTTCTGGATTTTTACTGTGTCCTTTCGAAACATTGGTTTAAAATCAATTTTTTAAAAATTGCTTTTAGAGAGAGGTAAGGAGAGGGGTAGACAGAAACATTAGAGAGAAACATTGATCAGCTGCCTCCTACACACCCCCTACTGGGGATCGAGCCTGTCTGTAACCCCGGCATGTGCTCTGGCCAGGAATCGAACCGTGACCTCCTGGTTCATGGGCTGAACTTAGCCACACCAGCTGGGCCCCATTTGTTTCTTATTTAACACTAGATGCCTAGTGTATGAAATTTGTGCACTGGTACGGTCCCTACAGCCTAGGGCAGGTCAGGGCCTTCCTCCTTTCCCCCCGCTAGACCTGTCCCCCTGGTCAAACTCCTGGACAACTCACAGTCAAGGGGACAATTTGCATGCTACGCTTTTATTACAGTGGGGCCTTGACTTACAAGTGTCCCGACAAACGAGTTTTTTGAGATACCAGCTGTCTCTCCGCCGACTTTTTGCATTGAGTTGATAGAGTAATTTGAGTTAATGAGCTCCTTAACGAGCTCGGTCTCAGAACGAATTAAACTCATAAGTCAAGGCCCCACTGTATATAGGATTTCTTCCACAAGCTCCTCAGTACTTTTTGTTAGAAGTCTAAATCCTAAATATGTGTTAATAAATTGGGAAGATTTTTATTGCATGAAAAACATGTCTTTTTTATTTTGTAGGAGTCCTCTCTGTTTAATAGAGTGCATAATTACCAACTAGAGCCATGCACCAACGGTGGGGTCCCTTGGCCTGGCCTGCAGGGATCGGACCGAAACTTACCTGGTGCACAGATTTGTCCAGGGCGTGTCTGGCCTGTCTCGCCCAGTCCAGATCGGGAAGGGACTGCAGGAGGGCTCCAGGGCATGTCCGGTCCGTCTTGCCCAGTCCTGATCGGCTGGACCCTAGCAGCAAGCTAACCTACTGGTCAGAGCATCTGCCCCCAGGTGGTCAGTGCACATCATAGCAACTGGTCGAATGATCTAGCATATTAGGCTTTTATTATATAGGATACTTTGGGTGTGTTTATGAATGATTATTGGAATTTGCTGTTACCTGAGTTTTAGTGTTGCTTAATGTTCCCCTTTTTGCTATTTAAAGAATTGCAATAACTTTTTTAGCTATCCTATGAATTTCAACTTGGTATTGGTTATTTATATATAATATGACCATAATAATCTGCTTTTCTTCCTTTTTATTTTTTTTAACAGTTACATGGGAATTGGTCTGTCTGCTCAAGGTGTGAACATGAATAGATTACCAGGTACAGTTGTAATTGAACTATATAGTATAGTCTCATAGATCTTTGTGGCTAAAACTTTCAGTTAATAACTTGAAATAGTAAAGTACAGTGATTTTCTGTATTTTTAATTACCTATACTATGAGTCCAAAGTAGAAACTGGGTTGTTAAAATAAATTGAAATTTTTTTGCTATTTGGCATAATTTAATACATATATACCATGCATTTTGTTTTATTTATTTATTTATTGTATTTTTGACTTTCGGTACATTGTCATACCAACTTTAAACATTTTAATGTGGTTAGCTCTGTTTGCTGCCCAACACATTCTTGGCTTTTAACTGATTTTTAGTTGTTTATATTTCAGTTGTTAATATTCTCAGAATGTAGGCCTGATGTTAAAAGTAAATTAAGGAAGGTGTGAATTCAGATGTCAGACTGTTTCTCAAAACCATTATTAATCAGATGATTATATTTCTGGTGTTCTATTTACTAATGCTTAAAATTAATTTGGGGGTAAGCTTTTTGAAACTAGAAAGCAAAATAGAAAACTTCTATTTTATATTAAACTGTGCATGTGTATATTTGTGTGTCTGTGTGTAAATCAAATCAAAGCAAATTTCCTTTGGTAATACACCAAAGGAAATATGCATGGAAAATGTGTCTTGCTTTTTTTTTTTTTTTTTAAGGAGTCCTCTCTGTTTAATACATGTTTTTGTATTCTGTGTGTTGAGTTCATTTTCCTTAATGTTATTAATAGTGTGTGTGTATATATATATATATATGTATTATATATATATATATGGAAAGGGATAGAGAAACATCAATGATGAGAGAGAATTGTTGATCAGCTGCCTCCTGCATGGCCCTCACTGGGGATCAAGCCTGCAACTGGGGCATGTTCCCTGACCAGGAACCGGACCCTGACCTCCTATTTCATAGGTCATGCTCAACCCACTGAGCCATGCCCAGTGGGCTGTAAACAGTATTTTAATATAGAAATTATGTCGTGTAATTGTTGAGAATTTAAATGTACATTTGGGAATTTTATGTCTGTGTTATCTGTTGTACTCTTCTTGCTTATTTTTCCATAATCTTTGTGGATAAATTGTAGCACAGTGGAACTTTTCATTTCATTGTAAATTATACTGGAATTTTCTCTTTAGGCTGGGATAAACATTCATATGGTTATCATGGGGATGATGGACATTCATTTTGTTCTTCTGGAACGGGACAACCTTATGGACCAACTTTTACGACTGGTGATGTCATTGGCTGTTGTGTTAACCTTATCAACAATACCTGCTTCTACACCAAGAATGGACATAGTTTAGGTACTTACATAATGTATTGCATGTAAAATAACCAAATATTGTTATTATTGTACTTGCATTATGATGATAGTCTTCTTTATAAGTAGATGCCTCTGGAAGCTATTTCTTTGTTTCTTCCAGGTGAAAGTTGACAAAATGGTGAAAAATTGTATTCTGTGCAGGCACATTGTATCACATGTATAGGAATAACTAAAAATAATTCCTATGCTCCGATATTTATTGTAATAATAGAAGTGTTTTCTGCTTTCTTTGAATAAAGCCCTTCACCGTATGATTCAATTCTCTAGGTTAACAGGTGCTAAGAAAAAGGGCTGTCAGTTTTTAGTCCAGCATAGGGGTAAAATAAAGGAAAAGCTTGATGGTACCAACCAAGTGAAGGGCACTGACACACTAAAGGTCATACCTGCTAACAAAGATTGATAAAGGATGGTGACTATAAGTTCTGCAAAAGGGATCAGAATTAAAACAAGCAGATAACAGCAACACTTCTAAGAATGAAAGACAGGTAGGTGACTAAGTAAGAAATAAATAGATTAAAAAAAACATGAAGATACTTATTCATTGTAAGACTAATAGAAAAATAGGGTTTTTAGTTAAATAGGAACTCATAATACTTCAAATTTAAAATTATATATGGTTGTTACACTCCCATTTCATAGCAGTTCTTTAAGGTTTTTTTGTGGGTTTTTTTTTTCCTCATTATGGAAAGCATAAAGGGTAGCAAGATTAGTGTTTTAAAAATATAAAGGTTTCACAGTACTTTTACTGTTTGAAATAGCCTTGATTCATAGCAAATTATTTCTGATGAGATAAAGTGAAAAGAGTCAAAAACTGAGTAACCCCAGAAGGCAGAAATTTCAATCCTATATAATAGAGGCAATATGCAAATTGACCATCATTCCAACACACAAGATGACTGCCTGCCCGCATGTGGTCAAAGATGTCCTGCAGGGGAGGGCAGTTGGGGGGCATCAGGCCTGAAAGGGAGGGCAGTTGGCGGCGATCAGGCCTGCAGGGGAGGGCAGTTAGGGATGAGGGACAGTGAACTGGCCCCCTGTTTAAAAAGTTTGAGGACCCCTGTGTTAGGGGGTGATCAGGCTGGCAGGCAGAAGCAGTTAGGGGCAATCAGGCAGCCAGGCAGGTGAGCGGTTGGGAGCCAGCAGTCCTGGATCGGACCTAAACGGGCAGTCGGACATCCCTCGAGGGGTCCCAGATTGGAGAGGGTACAGCTTAGCTGAGCGATGCACACACCTTCCCCCCCCCCGCCCCCATGCACGAATTTCGTGCACCGGGCCTCTAGTTTACTTATAAACAGGATTTAAAAATTAGATTGCAAATGGTATGCTTAGACATGTATATATATTCTTCAATACAAAACCTATTTCTGTCATTTCAGAGAAAAATTCTAAATTTCTAAGTGTATTGGTAATAGTTATTTTTTATTAGTGTCTCAACATATTCTTAATATAAAGTGAGTGTCTTTATATTTATATTTGGCTTAAAATGCTTCCTTCTGATTATTAATATTGATTCTGAAGTCCTGTGTTATCTGACTTAAAGATTGTCTCAAGTCCACAAAAGATCCTTATACACAGTTCATCATAGAACAGGTTTTAATCCACTTGTATGTGGATTTTTTTCAGTAAATACATACAGTACTGTAACTGTATTTTATCTTCTTTATGATTTTCTTAATAACATTTTCTTTTCTCTAGTTTTATTGTAAGAATACAGGATATACATATGATGTACAAATTATGTGTTAATCAACTATTTATTGGTAAGAGTAGTGGTCAACAGTAGGCTATTAGTAGTTAAGCATTTGTGGGGAGTCAGAAGTTATATGTGGATTTTTAACTGCACAGGGGTCAGTGTCCCTAACCCCTGCTTTGTTCAAGGGTTAAGTATTCTTACCAGTATAAGAATGTTAAGGATGCCATGCAAATTTGTTGTGTATTTGTAATTTGATTGTTATAGCTAACTGGTTTCTATAAAGATACAGCCCCTTCAATTTATTCGTTGTTACTATTCTGGCTTTGACTTATCAAAGCAGTTAACTGGGGTAATCTTAGGTATCTTGGCTGCTAAAGATATTGAATATCTTAAACCAGGAGAAATCCTCTCTTAGGTATGACTGGGTTCAGAAATGCAAAGGGCATATTTTAAAATTAAAATCAGTCTTTTACAGTTTTCTTAAACTTTATTCCAGAGAAATTTTATTTTGAAATATGAGAAGAGGTGATTTTGTGTTTTTTTTTCTGTTAGATTTTTACAGATATTTAAATCTTCTGAATAAGAAAACTTTTTAAAATGTGACATTTTTTAAAGGGTACATAATGATGGAATTACATTCAATTTTTTAAAGTAAATTTGAAATATTTGACATTATTTATAAACTAATAAATATTTATTAAGCACATAGAGAGGCAGTATATAGTGGTTAATATGGTTTCTTTAGTTGCCCGATTTTGTCTCCTGGTTTAGGCCATGTGACCTTATGCAAGTTATTTAACACATTTCTGTGCCTCAGTTTGTAAAATAGTTTCACTATGATGCCTACCTTTTTAAGGTTGTTAGACTAAACTGAAATGATGCATGTACAATTCTTAACTGATTGCCTGACACAAAGTGAGTGCTCAGTAAATGTTTATCATTGTTTGCCACACTCTGGGCTAGGTGCCAGGGATGCAGTGATAAAACATCGGTGAGCATAGTTTCTTTAGAACCAAATTTCTTTAGATGTGCCAAATCTGTCTCCTGTCTTTTTTTTCTAAAGTTTTATTGGAATGCCGCCACATCCATTTTTATGCACTGTGTATGGCTGCCTTCCTGCTACGGTGGCAGAATTGAGTAGTTGTAACAGAGGCCATATGGCTTAAGGAGAAGGAAATATTTACTCTCTGGCTCTTTATAGGAGAATTGTGCTTACCTCTGGTCCAGAGTCTAACATCTAGGAGATAAAATATTATTTAGTTAGTGTTCCTTGTAGTACTTCCCAAAGTGGATAAGTTTTACCCCAAAGCTGATACATCTTTAATTTCTGTCTCATGAAGGTTTTTAAAATATGTATTTACTATAAAAGGAGAAATGGAAAGGTTTTTATTTGAGAAACAAAGGAGAAACATTTCAATATTTAGGCTAATGTAATTTGAAAATTTTTTACTTAGTTTTAATGAGTATCATTCATCAATTGAAGATCACTTTTCAAAAAGCATCTTGACAAATCAGGAAGTTAGAAATATAAAAAACTTGATTTTTGTGTATTTACATAATTATACCAACTTATTAAACTGGTATCTTTTTGTGGTCTCACTATTTATAGGCTTAGATAGCTATATTTGGCAGTGTCAAAAGTGTTAACCTATGAAATTAAGTTGTAGTTTTCATGAGAGTGTTTAGTAAAGAGCGATTTGAGTAATTAATAGCAAAAAGGAATTTTTTACTAAAGGAATATAAATTTGGCAGTTTTGTAAATAGACATATTTGAGGAAAATAATTGATTAGGGTTTTATGAAAATGGCAATTATGTTTGGTAACATTTTATTGAAATATTTATTCTTTATTTTCTGTAAAAGTTTTCTGAAATTTTTAGAATAAATTTTCATAGTTGTTTGGCCCACAGTCACTTTGCTTTTCTATGAATGAAGCTAAAAGTAATCAGATTATTTCACCGGAGTGGCAGGGCATTAATTTACTAGTTTCAAAAAAGACTTTCACTACAAAGCACTGTTTATACACATTTATTTTAAAGCATATTTAGTAAAGATTTATGGTCAGTTTATCTTTTAATTTTAGTACTTTCATGGATAGAGTCAGTTTTCTGATGGTACAGTACAATTATATAGTTAAAGAATCTCAAGTGGGAAGATAATTTAACAGAAATGCCGTCACTTTTTCTGTGGTGATCAGCACTGTAGGGGTAGTGCTGGTGTGGTCTTTCAGTTTGTTTTAATGTGTGTTTAAACTGGAAGGTTTGATATTAACCCATTCACCAACATCACCTCCTGCCATTATTCTACAACTCAAGTCTTTTTAAACATATGAATAAAGTGCTATAGGAACGTTTGGTTTATTATTTTCAGCTAAATAATATATTTTAATATTTTAAGGGAGATTATTAAATAACCACTTTGGGATGCTAGGAGACTTATTCCAATATTATCATTATTCAAGTTTATTTGAAACATGACTTGAAATTACTGTCAGAGGACATTCAAGAGAAATTCTCAACTGTTTACATCTTTATCCTTTGAAGGAGGAATTTTTTTTTCAGAGTAGTCAAAGGTTATTCAAGAATACTCTTTTATAAGAAAATTTATATTTTTAAAGAACAAACATACTGTATTTTACATTGTTTACCTTTTTAGTGCAACATAAAATCTTTCCCTTCCAAAATTATTTAAAAGCTAAATCTAAGTGAGGAAGATTAAATGATAAGGTTGGATAAAACATCTTGAATATTGGTTGAAATTCAAATGATTATTTTACAACTGATTTTCTTACATGATGTCTAACATAGCTTTGAAGACATATCTAAAATCATTTCAGAAATCCTGGAGTCAATAGCAGTACCCCCAAAATAAAATTGGTGTGTGATCTTGAAAAAGGGTCAGCATTCAGTCAGACCTGTTAGTGTTATTAAGAAAAAATCACTCATTATTTTATATTTGGGTTTTTAATTTTTTTTTCTTCTCTGCGTTTGCCATTCTTTTTTCTTCATTTTAATTAGAAATTTAGCTTGTCACCATAGTCTACCTTTGCAAAACAGCTTCTAATGCCACCTTTTTTTTCCCTTCAGGTATTGCTTTCACTGACCTACCGGTAAGACTTGTGTTGTTGTTTTTTTTTTTTAAAAAAAATCAGTTTTGCATTTTTAATTAAACAAAGTATAAAACTAGTACTAAACTTGTTTAGAATGCATTCTTATTGACATTCAATTTATATGCTGTGCATAGATTAGAGATATTTCTCTAGTCACCATTGGTGTAGATCTTCAGAAATTAAGTTCCAAATTTCTCTGCACACCGTTGCACAAGGGAACTTCGTTGTAGCTAAAAAATAAATCAGAGTTTATTATTAAAATATACTTTTTAATGTCATTGTGTTTATTTTAAATATGTTTATTTGGTATTATTGGACTTTTTAGCAAGTGCTTGTACAGCAATTCTAGTCATTTTTTAATTTAGTGTGTATTGCACGCATACTGTGTGACAGGTTCTGTGATATATCAGTCAAGAAAATAGTAAGGTCTCTGTTCTCTTAGAAAACTCAAGCTGGAGTAGTTAGAGAATAAATAATACATTAAAAATAAGTAAATTATATTTTAAAAGGTTTTAAGCACTTTTCAAATAAAGAGAAAAAAGAGAGTGTGGAAATACCAAACAGAACACAGGATATACAATTTGCTCACCTTTGGTCAAGGTAATATTTGAGCAGAAGCTTTTGAAGAAGTAAGGGAGATAACTAAATGGATATATAGATCAAGAATGTTCCAGGCAAAGGGAACAGTTAGGGGTATGGTACTAAAGCAGGAGCATGTCTGGTATGTTTGAAGAATAGCATGAAGTGAGGTAGAGAGACATGAGAAAGGCAGAAAGTAGTAGGAGATCAGTCAGAGATAATGATGGATGTGGGGGTTGGCTAGATCATCTGGACCTTGAGGGCCATTGTAAGGACTTCAGCATTTACTTTGAGTGAAATACAGAGACATTGCAGAGTTTTTTAGTTATCATGATACAACTTTAGTTTTCAAAGGACCACTGGCAGCTGGATGGAAAAATTAGGCTGGGGAAGGGAGCGGAGAGTAAGGGTAGAGACAAACAGACTTGAGAGGGGCTATTACAGAAATTCAGGTGAGGTGTAAGAAGTGTGATTCTAGATACCTTATTTACCAAATCTAAGGCTCTGTCTATATTAATAAAAACATAACATGCTAATTAGACCAGATGTCTTCCGGATGTCCTTCCATACGAAACCACGGTGGCTGGGGCCGAGGCAGAGTTAGGGACGATCAGGCCAGTAGGGGAGAGCAGTTAGGGGCGATCAGGCAGGCAGGAGTAGTTAGGGGTGATCTGGCAGGCTGGCAGAGGTGGTTAGGGGCGATCAAGCAGGCAGACAGAGGGGTTAGGGGTGATCAGGCATGCAGGCAGGCAGAGGGGTTAGGGGCGATCAGGCAGGCAGGTGATCAGTCAGGAGTCAGCAGACCCAGATTGTGAGAGGGATGTCTGACTGCCAGTTTAGCGGGATCCGGCCTAAATCGGCAGACATCCCCCAAGGGGTCCCGGATTGGAGAGGGTGCAAACCAGGCTGAGGAACTCCCCGCCCCTTCCGTGCACAAATTTTGTGCACTGGGCCTCTAGTATATATCCTATCTAATAAAAGAGAAACATGGTAATTAGCATACGACCGCTACCCTTCCCATTGGCTAATCAGCGAGATATGCAAATTAACTGCCAGCCATGATGGCAGCTGGCAGCCAGGCAGCTTGAAACTAACATGAGGCTTGCTTGCTTCAGTGACGG